ATCCATGTCATTTGGATGATATGCTATTAAATCATATCCCTTAGCGAGCTTGTATTTCCAGGTTTGAGATAATCCGTTTTGGTGCTGAGCCATAAAGCTAAATAGGTTCGGTCAGTTTTCCTTCCTTGAACTTTCTAATAGCTTCTTTATATCTGTCACTAAAGTCAACAGTATCTGGGAAACCACACTCTTCTTTAAGCATTTTTAAGAATTCTTGGTTTCCTTGTTCTCTACTTCTTTTATGTCCTTGCTCTGTTTGTGGTTGTTGCTGTGCTGGTTTTGTTGTTGTTGTGTTGGTTGTGGAGGTGGTTGTTGTGCTGGTTGTTGTGTTGGTTGTTGTGTTGGTTTTGGTGCATGCCTGTGTCTATGTCCATGTGACGATGTAAATGTTTTAGTAGTCCTGGTGCAGGTGCTTCTCTTGGAGGGTTTGGTGGTATATAAGTTCCACCAGCTGGCACATATGTTCCATCTGCAGCGTAATGTCCTACCTGACTTTTCGTTTTTAAGAAAGCATTTACTAGGTCTGTTTTGGTCTGTTGTAACTCTTTTTTCTTGACTTTTCACAACAGTTGCTCTAACGGCGTCATAGGCACTTTGAACTGCCTGTCTCGTTGCTGCATCTGTTATTTTCGTCATATTTTGTGCTACTTCTTTTAACTCTTTGTCGAAACCTTCAGACTTCAGTTTCTTTCCAGATGAGAAGTCGTTCACTTGTTTCACCTTACTATGAAGAGCTTCGAAGGCGTTCTTAAAGTCAGCATTCGTTAAAGCTTCATTTGAACTGTCTTCATCCGCTTGTATTTTTGTCCTTATTGACCCTATGAGTTGGCTGCTTTAGCGTTGGCTTGGGCATCTAACCAGTCATTGTTAGCTTTTATATATTCTGCGCTTTTCATTGCCTTTTGCATAGCCGCGTCGTTATTTTTACTTTCTTGTGCTAAGTTTTCATACTGTACGGTTTGGTTTTGCAACTGTAAAAGTTTTCTGCCTTTACATTTGCTTCAACTTCTTTTTTATACTCATCGCTATCCATATATGTCTTCAGGGCTTTTTGTTTTATCTCTTCATCTTTCAGTATTTTATATTGAGTAGTATGGTTTTTCAAATTTATGACATCTTGTTCCATTTTTGCTACTTCTGCTGCTTTTTCTGACACTTTTTTTGCATATTCCTCTGTACTTAGTTCTTTCAGTTGTTCTTCTTTCTTCTTTTTCTCTACGTTTAACTCATTTAGTTTCTTTGTGTGTCTGTCATATTCTAGTTTCTTTTCGTTTTCACTTATTTGCTTCTGTATGTCTATGTTTGACTTTTTGACATCTGTTATTTGATTTTTGAGTGAACTCAAATTCATTTGACTTTGAGGGTTATAGGCTGTTCCGTCTGCAGCTCCACCATAGCCTGCCATTTTCGCTAAAAGTGCCGCTCTTAAACCTCCACTCTGTGCACCAAGAACTCGGTTTAAAAGCATAGGATTGCTTGACATTTGTTGCAACATAGTGGGGTCATTCATCATTTGTTGTTGCAACTGTTGTTGTGGTGTTAGTCTTACTATTGGATGTTTCAATGCTCTCTTCCTCTTACGTATATTCTTACGTAGCTTACGTGGCATTTTAAGTGAAGTTAAAAAGCGGCTTTTGACAGATGTTTTATTGTGACTTCTTCGTAAAGACTTTGTTGAGATTTCTTCGTAAATGAGTGTAAATGACCCAAAAATATATTTTAGGGTAGAAGGGTATATCTAACCTCTTTTCTAACCTCTTTTCTACCCTCTTGAATTTTCATGAATTTCTTCGTAAAGACTTTGTTAAGACTTCTTCGTAAAGACTTTGTTGAGACTTCTTCGTAAAGACTTTGTTGAGACTTCTTCGTAAAGACTTTGTCAAGACTTCATCGTAAAGACTTTGTTGAGATTTCTTCGTAAATGACCCTAGTAGTATATTTTTGGTGTAAATTTCATGAAAATTCAAGAGGTTAGAAAGAGGTTAGATATACCCTTCTACCCTAAAATATATTTTTGGTGTAAATTTCATGAAAATTCAAGAGGTTAGAAAAGAGGTTAGATATACCCTTCTACCCTAAAATATATTTTTGGTGTAAATTTCATGAAAATTCAAGAGGTTAGAAAAGAGGTTAGATATACCCTTCTACCCTAAAATATATTTTTGGTGTAAATTTCATGAAAATTCAAGAGGGTAGAAAAGAGGTTAGAAAAGAGGTTAGATATACCCTTCTACCCTAAAATATATTTTTGGTGTAAATTTCATGAAAATTCAAGAGGGTAGAAAAGAGGTTAGAAAAGAGGTTAGATATACCCTTCTACCCTAAAATATATTTTTGGTGTAAATTTCATGAAAATTCAAGAGGGTAGAAAAGAGGTTAGAAAAGAGGTTAGATATACCCTTCTACCCTAAAATATATTTTTGGTGTAAATTTCATGAAAATTCAAGAGGGTAGAAAAGAGGTTAGAAAAGAGGTTAGATATACCCTTCTACCCTAAAATATATTTTTGGTGTAAATTTCATGAAAATTCTGAGTAAAATGACAGATGTTTATATGACACTTTCTCCGGTTTATAGGACCTCTCTCATATTCTAAACATCTTCGGGGCTAGAGGGCACGAAGTGCCTGGAAGCCCCACTACCTTTTTTTTTTTTTTTTTTTTTTTTTTTTGAATTATGCAAAATATGACTAAATAATTATAAATTTCAAGTTAAATTTTAATTTTGATAAATAATTTAAATTTCAAAATACCAAGTTCAGTTCGACTATGTATGTAGTAATTCCTCAATAAAGTGCCAAAACCCTATTAAAATATATGAACATTTTCAACATTTTAATGTTTTTATTTAAAAATTTGTTGGAATATGAGCTTCAAACAATTATTATGTAAATAAAAATAATTAAATATATGTATTTATTCGTATTACAACCGTAGTAAGTCGATTCTTCCTTTCTTCTACTGAGGTTTGAATTTGATTTCGAATTGTAAAGAGATTCAAAGGGAAAATACTAGCGGATAAAAACTACCTCCATGAAAGGGTCATAATGGACTCAAGTTGTATTTTTTGATATTTTTTGCTTTTCGAGCCTAAATAGGTAGCCAAGATAATGCCTAAAAATAAGGTTCTAAATTCTGAAGTTTACATGATCCTCTCGTGTGCACCCTTAAGATGTAGCAAATATCCTTTTGAAATTTGTTTTTGGAGATTTTGTATGATATTTCTCAATTCAAATGGAGAAATAAAATTAATAAATTGTGTTGCAAAAATTATTTTGACAAAATAATGTTATTTCCAATAAAAAAAATTATTAATTAAAATTGATTTTTTCGTCTTGGAATTTAAAGGCATCACCTCCAGGATGATAATAGGATTGTATTATTTTGGTTTTTCAATTAATTTTATTAAATTTTTTTATATAAGTCGTTACTATTGTATTCCAATTTATTTGCATCATGGTGTTATAAGAATTTGTTTTTAATTGCTCGATATTTTTATTTTTCTTGAAATTATTTATTACAGATTTGAAAATATTGCTTAATAATAAAGAAACCACCATTAATATAACCCGACTTAATGGAATCATATTACCTATTTAACCATTTGTAAAAGAAAAACAATGAATGAGAATTGCATTTTTTTATTATTACTATTTTGAATAATTTGAGAAAGAAACCGCCGATTTCAAAATATTCAAAATCAATGATCAATTTTTTTAATGTTCCCACCTTCAACTAAGCTTTATAAAGAATATTCTTATTTCTAAACTTTTAAAGATTATTTTGTATTTACAGTTGTTCATATTTTTTTAATGCTCTCTCTAAAATAATTATTATTAAAATGACGAGATTTTGAGCCAATTATTTTTCTCTCAATTTTTTTATATCATAAATTTTTACGCCACTGATTTATGAATACATGAACAATTTTCCTTTAAAATTTAGTTATGGACCTTGAATATAAAGCAGTGTTCATCATTGATAAATCATATTCAATTTTAATGACCAAATTTACAATTTTTTTTGTTCCTTCAGACAAATAAAGCATTATCAACAATCAAAATCTATCTATTTATGAATGATATGTATATTTATAGCATAACGAATTCAAAAAAACAAAACATTGTTTGTTCATCAAATTTAAAGGAAAAAATCTCCTAAGTTACAAAATAATAATAATCTAATGGATAATGAACAATAACTTGAGTAAATGAAGCTAAAAATTTATAAAATAAAACTTTTATTTTCAAATTAACTTTTTTATAAAGGAAAACGCATTCATATCTATTTTCTATCTCTATTTCAAGAAGAGAGATGAAATTCTTAAAAAGTTACTAATTTATTTCAAAACGAACTCAAGGTATGATTATCAATATTTAATAATCTAAGTATCTCATTATTAACTAACCCTGATTTCCAAAATAGAATAAATCAACTTTTCAAAGTTCACCTTACATATCGGTATATTATTCTGAATTACAATACAAAACTTTTGAATTCAAATTCTTGACACTTGAATAATCTTACTATTTTGAAATATTATGTAGGTACAAATAAAACTTCCGGATAAGTTCATCGTAATTCGGTATTTTGAATTAATTTCTTTTCTATTGAAAATCACAAATCTTAATTCGACCAATTTTAGAATTTGGTTTGTCTTATGTTCTAATAAAGATAATGATAAATCCCTGCGTGAAATTCAAAAATACTCTTCAATTATTTTGAAATTATATTCAAAATCTCGAATAACTGTTTTTTCACCACAAAAAATAAAAATTCAAAAGAAATCGGTAAATGCTAAAATGATATCACATTCATTCTTACATATATTTTTTACAAAAATTCTGACTTTAAATAATCGTTTATTTCCAATATATTCTTGTCTTTTATTAAAATAATTGACGCTCATATGAATCGCTACACCAATCAAAATAATCATATCAAAAGTTATTTCAGAGAAATGTCATTTTTCTTTCCTTATCTTATCCTCTTTTATCCATCAATGTCTTCATTTCCATATTCAAAAAGGAAATCGCCAAAAGACGTTGATGGGTATGATCCTCAGAAAGATGTTTATGAAGATGATGTAGATCCTGAGGTAGATAATGCAGATTATAATTATCAAGATTCGATGTTTAATGATGAAGATTCAAATCTTTCAAACTTTAAAAGAACCAGAATCCGTAAAAAAGGAAGAAAAGCAAGATTTCAAGTTGATTTATATCTCAGGGATCAGCAAATTATGGTCAATCAAGCAATAGCAGTAAACCATCAAACACAAAATAGTCATTATATAGAAAGCCAGCAAAACCCGTGTCAAGAAATACGAGCAGCAATAATTCCAACATCCAATCGGCACAATTTTATGACCGACTTAGAATCAGTTGGTCCAAATCATATTCCCAATGTAATCGATATTGTTCCAAGAGGATTTCATTGATATTACAACCACTTTTGTTAATAAATGTTTATATGAATATACTTAGTCAATTCTTAGGGAATGTGAAAGTTTTTAAATAGATTTTCTTCATTTTACGTATAATTTGGCTACATTTCAAAGTTTCAATTAAATATATAGTATCTTTTTATAAAATTATAGTTTAGCAATGTATTTCATAGCTAGTAGCAACTAATAATTTATGAGATTGTATTACAATTTTTAAAATAATCTGAGTTTCAGAAAAATTTCAAAATTGGAAACAAAATTCAGTTTTGATAAATGTAAATAATGTCCTATTCATGATTTCGAATCTCTAATTCAATCAAAAACAAATTCTCAAATAATCCTTTTGATTTTGGAAATTAAGGCACAATCATATATGAGTAATATTCTTTGAAATTTCTGCACTTTGGTTCGGAATGAAAAGTGACATAATCACAAAATTTCAATAAAATATTCAGACAATTTGGTCTTTAAAAATCTCGAGGATGTTTTATTGTCGTCTGGGAAAAGTGACAAAATTATTATTGTCGTCTAAAAAGGTGACAAATTATTATTGTCGTCTGGAAAAGTGACAAAATTATCATTGTCGTCTAAAAAATAGATTTTTCAAGCATGTTTCGGTACCTAAATAAAGGAAGAACATCAATTCCATCTATGTATATAGTATGCAAACACGCATGATATATGGAGTAGCTCTTTATCTGGCTAAAAATCCTATTATTTGAAAATTCGCATTGTCGTCTAAAACCGCCAGACGACAATAATAATACCCCAAAAATCTCTCATTTCAATTTATAATCTGTTTTCTTATTTCTCGAATTTTGCTTTCTAACTCAAGAACTAAATCATTTAAACTTTTAAAAATTTATCATTTTAGTTATCTTTAAATTTCATACAAATATTAAAAATAATTTAATTGAATCCCAAAAATAATACCTTTTTTATCAGGTGATTAAAACAGATGCATTACTAAATATTATCAGTTGAACTCTACAGAAATTAATTTTTTCTTATACAAACTCAACTTTGTTGTTATTGATATCAACTAAGTATCGATATTAAAGTAATGGCGATCATTTATGATTGATGGTTGTTGAATTTTCAGTTTATACAGAATTTCGATAAAATCATCTTCAGCTTAAAAATAAACGCATATTACTTATCATTCTCTTGGGAATGTGACACATCCAATTAAAATACATGGTTTTAAATGATCTAAACAGGAAAGTTCTTTTTGTTATAAACTCATAGAATATTTTGTGAAAAACAATAAACATTTTTTTATTCACCATTGTATTTTCTTTGAAAACCATGAATTAATAAGCGAACGGATTACGATTAATCTATGTTAACATTATTAATTGTTCATTGCGGAAGTATTTTAACCAAATACTTCTATGAATCAACCAATGGAAACATCTCTGCAGGAATCTATGAGTTTCATTTGTACGGCGGAACAGGAGGAGATGCATACTCTGATGGCATCCTCCAAAGTAACCACGGAGGAAGAGGTTCCTATATTAAATATAGATTTCGTGTTGAGCATAGTGAATCTTATGAAATAATAATTGGTGGAAATGGTCATTCAGGGCCTGTCGGAGTCAATCACTTTGGACTTCCTAACGGAGGAAATTCCGGAAATAGTCCGTCTAATTTGAATGGTGTTGGTTCTGGTGCAGGTTCAACGATTTTGAAACTTGGGGGCCAAGTTGTTGCAGTTGCAGCTGGTGGAGGAGGTGCTGCTATGAACTTTGGAGGCTCCCCAGGTGGTGGCATCGGCTACAACTATCGATATGTGAATAATACTTGGATCAAAAATTTTGACTCAATGTATTTCCTCGATACTGGTTTCGGAGGAAATGGTACTGATAGTACTTGTTATCCGGGTTCTGGTGGAGGAGGAGGATATAAAGGAGGAATTGGTGGTAATGGGACTTGCATCACTCCTTATTATAATATCCTCTCCACTAGCGGAACTTCTTTTGTTAATGAGAATTATAGATTGTATTTATCTTCTTTTGTAGTTGATGGTTTGCATTCTTATAAAGGAGATAACATGATGATATACTCATTATGTGGTAATAAGTGTACTAGCTGCAATACAAGTTTGAAATCACTAGATACATTTGTTGGATTTAAAATAGCGGATTATGATTGTTCATGCTTTCCATATAAACCGCTTTTAGATATGCCTAAATCCGGATCTCGCTCGCTCTTGCAAACATATAACGGTTTTATTTGTAATGTTTCTTGTCCTGTACACTTTTACCAAATCAATACTACATGTTTTAGTTGCACAAGTAATTGTGACTATTGTGATGATAATTTTACATGTTTGAAGTGTTCGTATCCATTCATTCGAAAAGGATATGAATGCGTGGACACTTGTGGAGAAGGCTATTATGTGACTTATGTTGATGAAAATAGAAATGGCAATCTTTTATATGAAAAACGATGTGAAAGATGTTCCCCTTATTGCATAGAGTGTGATGATTCCAAAACATGCAAAAGTTGCAAAGAAGGCCATAAATTGATAGATGGCTATTGCACTGAGGAATGTGAAGCGGGCTACTATGAAGAAAATGGAGAATGCAAAAAATGCCCAAAAGGTTGTTTAATATGTGAAAGTGATAAAAAATGCTTGGAATGTGATCAAAAGCTTGTTCTCGGAGCATATCAAGATGCAAATGTTTGCTATCCTACAAAAAATTCTCAATTCAAAAGAAAACTTTCTTTTTCAATAACAGTTACTTTGACATTGTGTAAATGATGAAAGTTTAATATATTTATTATGAATTTATGCTTTGTTTAACCTACAATTTCATTTTAATAACGATGCAATAGAAGCATAATACTACATATAATTGTTAGGACATTCAGTAAGTTCAAACTACTGATACTTTCATAGATATAATTTATCATTATTTTATTTTGTATTTCCAGTAAATACATCTTAATTATTGCTAAATTTTTCTTTATATAGTTTGAATTTACGTTCTAACAATTTTTAACAATGAAATCAGGATGAAAAATTTAAAATAATAAATTAATACAGATTTAGAATAAGAACACAAATAAAATAAACATAAACTAAAATAATTATGGATTAACTGTGACGATGTCTGCAGCTGATGTATCCATATCGTTAAGTACGTCAGAAGTTGATGGATTCTCTGGGATCTTTGGAATCTTCACAAGTCCACATTTCGAACAGCATCCGCAGCATATACATAAAATAACAATAATAATTATCAAGGCAATAAAGCCTCCAAGGGTCAAAAAGATAACCAAATAAGACTTCAATAAACTGTCATCATTAGAAGTAACTAGAAATGTCTCGAAATTTGAGTTATCAGCGATCGAATAAATATAATTCTCTGATTGATTGAATTCACACTCAAAAACCATCGAGAGGTTATTATTATTTTTTGTTAATGAGAATGCAAGCAAGAAATCGGTATTGTTGTTAATATCTTGTAATGATATCTCGGTTCCATCATAATTAAAGAGTTTTTTAGAGATATCTGGGCTTGATTGTAACGACCGAGTATAATTCACACTATTTTCCATTGAGAAAATGATACAATTCTCATTCTTTTGAAAGTCAAGCATATTTTCATTGAAATTAGTATTAATTGTATATTTTGATGGACCAGTAAGATATCCTATATTTGAACATTTGGTTTCTGACTCTTTATTTACGAATTTTGATAAATCAAAAGCTGTGTAGCTAATTTCTATGTTTTTCTCAGATGTAACAAGTAAAAATCCAGGTGACTGATAACTAACAGCATAAGAATATTGTTTTCCCATCAAATTTATGATAATTTCTTTCTTTGAAACGTTTGTGAATGCAAATATCTTGTAATATCTCTCAAAACCATTCCTAATATGAAATGTTATGAATGTATCTTTAGGCACTTGCGCACAGACGTGCTCATCTAATAACTTCAACGTTCCAGGACCAATATTGATGGGCTCTGTCTTATTACAATGCTTCATATAACTATCTACTGGAAGACCACTATCGATTGATCTAAACAAATGAAGAATAGATGAGATCATTTTTGAAGAATGAATTTTTTAGCCTTGAAAATTTTGAAAGAATTCGAGTTTTTTTTAATAATCGTGTTAATAACACGAGTGCAATATAATTTATATTTTAAACGGGAATTTTCCGATAATCGTCAATTTTTTTAATCGCAAAAATAATTTTGTCGGAAATTTCTGAAATTTTATAAGTCAAGATTGTGAACTTTACAAAATAAATAGATAAATCTGAAATGTTTGTGTAAACCTCTCAATTTTATCGTCGGGGAAGCAACACAATTCCCTCAAAAATATTGAAAAAATATAGAAAATAAAATGAATTAAGATGTACTTAAAATGAGAAATAGATTATGCTATTAGATTTTAGAAAAAACAGACTTTTGATATAACTTTTGAGAATCTCATATAAAAAAAAGCATTTAAAAATAAATTTAAATATCTTATTTATTTTACTATTGTAAATATATTCTGAGATTTTTAAAAAAAAACACTTTTCATAAGTATTCAATATTTGAGAATACGGTCCAAAAAAAAATAGATTCTCTTATATTTGCTTATATAAAAGGAAACTCTCTATCAGATGCGAATGCATGAATTCAGCACCTCTGATAGAGAGTTTCCTCTTATATAAGCGGATCTTTTTCATGAGTTATTGTTAATATAAAAACATAAAACTACCAATATGAGAAATTAAACCCTGCGAGGCACCAGTCTAGAACTGGCGCTTCGCAGGGTTTAATTTCTCTTGACAAATGACAAAACTTGTTCGCAATTGTGAACCATTGCGAGCAAGTTTGCCAGATATCTGGAAGGAATTGCTCCTTATGATATATGCATTGTAACTGTATATATCATAAAGAGCAATTCCTTCAATTAAACGCAAAAACTTTGGTGCAATCGTTGCTGATTGCACCAAAGTTTTCGAACTTTCCCGAGGGAATTGGAGGGTGAGAGATACATAGTCTATCTATGTACCTCTCACCCTCCAAATCCCACTCTAAATGGGAGAAACTTTGTTCGCATGTTATCTTATTCAGACAAAATTTCCCAGCTTCAGAGAAGGAATAGGAGCCTACCAGGCACTGATATATAATCAGTGCTTTGTAGGCTCCTATTCCTAATAGAAAGTTCGAAAACTCGGTCGCAATTCCATCTGATTGCGACCGAGTTTTCGAACTTTCCCGAGGGAATTGAAGGGTGAGAGGTATATAGTATGCCTATATGCCTCTCACCCTCCAAATCCCACTCTAAATGGGAGAAACTTTGTTCGCATGTTATCTTATTCAAACAAAGTTTCTCCCATTTAGAGAAGGAATAGGAGCCTACTAGGCACTGATATATAATCAGTGCTTTGTAGGCTCCTATTCCTAATAAAAATTTGAAAACTTTGGAGCATTTGATTATTGTATTTTGTCAAGAGAAATTCAACCCTGCGAAGTGCCAGTTCTAGACTGGTGCCTCGCAGGGTTTAATTTCTCATATTGGTAGATTTTGATGTTTTTATATTAACAAAAACAAATGAAAAAGATTTGCTTATATAAGAGGAAACTCTCTATCAGAGGTGCTGAATTCAGGCATTCGCATCTGATAGAGAGTCTCCTTTTATATAAGCGAATATAAAAGAATCTATTCTTTTTTGGAGCGTATTTTCAAATATTGAATACTTATGAAAAGTGTTTTTCCTAAAAATTTAATATAATGCTTAGCACAATATATAAAATTAAAATATCTATAATTATTTTCTATATCACACTTTTCATTACACCTTGAAAAGTCTTCTCAAACTCTATTTTTAATTATTTTTTAGATATATCTCAAGTGTGATTATTCAAAAACTCATATAGACTATATTTATTTTTTTCATTCAAAAAATTATATGAGAATCTCAAATTAACTTTCAAATTTTTTATTTTAAAAACATATTAATAATCATATTTTAAGATACTTTTTCGCCCAAAAAATAATCGTACTTCCTCGACGATTAATAGGCTCTCAATTTCTATCATTGACACTACTTAGCATGCAACAATATTTAGCATAAGAATACATAACTGCTGCAAATTCACATTTATGTTACCTTTCAACATTTTCAAAGATAGTCCTCAAATTTTTTTACAATTTTTCTGAAATTTGAATCAGATTGTCAAAATGTTTTGCTTTTGTGTTACAGTATTCTCTTTAAATTATTCATCATCTTATAGCAATTTATACATATATGGACCACAAACAATTGAACCAAAAGATCTCTATTCCCTTGAATCAACTTACGGATATGTTCATTTTTGTTCAGGCGTTATTTCTATTTCAAGTAATGTCATGCGTGGATGGACAATGTCTACAGTAAGTATATCAGAATCAGTTAAATACATCGATTCAACAGCATTTTTAGAGTGTAGTTCTCTTTCACGTTTCATTGTTCATGAAAATAATAATGTGTATAAATCCTATAATGACAACCTTGTCTCACTTGATAATACAATATTGTTTCGCTTTCCTCCAAAATCGAAACAAATTTCTATTAATATTTATACAATTGATGCAAATATAGTAAATATATCCGATTATGCATTCGAAAGTGCAGATTTTGGAATTGTTAATTTTGATGCTCAATCACAAATCAAAGTTATTGGATCATTTGCATTTTTAAATAGTAATATTCAAGAAATACATCTTCCTTCTTCTATTTCTGTTATCAAACGATACGCATTTTCTTCACCAAAAAAATTAAAACAAATTAAGTTTGCTGATAATCAAAACAATATTGTTATTGAAGAATATGCATTTTCCAACTCATCAATTTCGAATTTCACTTTTCCAAATAATTGCAAAATTTCTGATTCAGTTTTTTGTTACTGTACAGAACTAGAAAAAGTAACAATAAAATCAAATAATGTAGACCTTAACATTGATGCATTCTCAGGATGTTTTAGCATTTCTAATTTTGAAATCACTAATTCACAGTTTATAAATGTAAATGGAAGTATAATGAATAGCAACAAAGCCACAATTTACTATATAATACCAAATTCTTCTTTTGAATTGGATTTGTTAGCAAATGTAAATCAAATTTGCGAAACTGCTTTCCGAAATTACAATGGAAGTTTGGAATTAACAAAAATATTTACCAATAGTATTATTACTATTGATAGAGGTATTGTTTATCTTGGTCGTGAATGTCTCTCATCTTTTATGAATTTAGAAAATATCAATATAAAACAAGACACAACATCAATTTGTAGAAGATGCTTTTATGGATTGAAAAATATAAAGAGTTTTACAATACAGGGGAACTTAGAAACTATTGGAGAAGATGCATTTAGAAACTGTCAATTCAATTCATTAAATCAAATTGATTTTCCATTTTCATTAAGCTCAATTGAAAAATATGGTTTTTATAATGCAAATTTCGGTAATTCTACTAGAATATCGTTTTTATCACAGACTTTGAATATTAAATCCCACGCATTTGAAAAGATGACAGCAAATTGTGTTATTTTTAATGTTCTTGATTCATTAGATGAATATGCGTTTTATGGATCATCAATTCCTAATATAAATCTTGGAGATTATGGATTTTATGAATTTAAAAATTATGCATTTTCACATTCATCTGTAGAGATAGTTGAATACTCAGGAGATGTAAGAAAAATCGGCTTTGCTACTTTTCAAGATTGCAAATCTCTCAAAACATTTTATTTTCTTTCACTAACATCGGGTGTTGCATCATTAATCGATTTAAATAGTATTACTTACATTGATGATTTTGCATTCCAAAATTGTATTTCAATTAGTGAAATTCAAATTGGGGGAATTTTAAAGACAGAATATATTGGATACAAAGCATTCGATAATATAAAAAACTTGAGAACATTTTCAGTTGGTAAAACAAATGATATATTTACGAGTGATACTTTGCCGACTGGATCTAATCCTGCATTCAGTTTATCATCAGATAATGAATATTATAAGTATATTGAGAATTGTCTTTATAACATAGATTTGACTATTTTAATAAGGTACTTTGGATCAAATATAATTGTAAGGATTAAGTCATCAACAAAAAAGATATCAGATAATGCATTTTCATCTCAATCATTAGAATATATTTTATTTGATTCCGAAGATATCCAGTTAGAAATCATAGGCAAAAGTGCATTTTCTAGTACAAAATTAAGAAGTTTTGAAGTTCCACCACTTGTTACATTGATTGATGATAGTGCATTTCACAAGTGTTCTTTATTAACAACAATTACTCTCAATGAAAACCTCGAAAAATTAGGAGCAATGTGTTTTTCAAATACTGGGATTTCCGAAATAAAAATTCCAAAATGTTGTTCGTCATTTGGAATTTTTTCATTTTCGGAGAATTCACAATTAGAAAAAGTTGAATTTGAAGATGATTCATCAATAACAGAAATACCAGAATTTTGCTTTTTTAATTGTTATAACTTAAAATCAATTAACTTACCAAAAAATATTAAAAAATTGGAAAAGATGGCATTTATTTTGTGCTCAAAACTAACAAATATATCTCTTGAACACATTGAAGTAATTGGAGATAATGCTTTTATGAGTACACGCTTGCAAAGAATTGTTATTCCTTCCAGTATCGAAAAAATAGGTGAAAATGCTTTCGGTAGTTGCAATTCATTAAGAGAAATCATTTTTGAATCGAATTCTCAATTGACTGAGATTGGAAAAGATCCATTTTCTAATTGTAAAAACATAGAATTACTAGAAATGCCAGGTTCATTCAATAGATTCAAAGATTTCTTTATAAATTTCTCGAGTTCTGGATCTACTTATAATTCTTTATTGATCAAAAAAGTTGTTTTACCTCCAAAAGAGATCATTTTTGAACAAATTCCTGATATTCCAATTGAATCAATTGTTGCAAGATCAGAAACGAACATTGAAAATATTGGAGAAAATGCATTCAACAATATGAAAAGGTTAATTTATGTTGAGTTCAAATGCCATGTTAACAATATTGCAACAAATGCTTTTTGTAACTGCCAAAATTTGGAATATATTTATATGAAAGAAGTTCAAACAATAAGTGGTTCTGCCTTTGCAAATAATACTAAACTTAAGAATATAACAATCCTAGAATATAATGGAATAATACCAGAGAATTGTTTTCAAAATTGTTTTGCTTTAGCTAAAATAATTTCCAATGTAAATATAATAAGTGTTGGAAGTTATGCCTTCGAAAACTGTGAAAATATAGACTTAAATACTTCGGATATCACAAAAGTTGGTTCATATGCTTTCAATAATTCAAGAATCAAAATGTTCCCTTCAAGAATTACTAAAATTGAAGAGTTTGCGTTTTATGGATGTTTTATTGAATCAAGAATTGTTTTAACGAATAAACTCGAGTATATAGGAACAGGATCATTCTACAATTTGAGAAATTCAATCAGATATGTCCATTATTGTGGATATAAGAACTTTCCCGATAATAATAATGCGTTTGAGAATTTAGAAGGAATAGTTGTTCCAAAGAATTACAATTATGATATGTTTTGCAATTACAAGGTAATTAAAAGTAAAACATTAAGTTGTTACTCCATTCCAGTGACTGAATTTTTGAATTATCAACAATCTGTCAGATTTGGGTCAAAAGATTACTCTCTAAGAAGATTAAGACCATAAAAAGTTTGTTTTATTGCGATATTTTTACTATTTATTTTTTTGAAAACAATGATAGTCATATATACTTACTATACACTAAGAGGAAATCCAGTTTACTTGACAATAATTATTTTCGATTTCGTAAGCATTATAAATTACCTCATTATAACCATTCAAAATGATTATTTTAAAAGTACTTTTCTGAGAGTGGTCTAATATTTAAAGAAAAAGTTCACCTTAAATTTTTTATAAGAAAATCTAAACTATCGTAATAAATTCTTTTATTAGCGAAAATGTAATAGAACTAATATACTCATTAGCTTTTTTAACAAATGATTTTTTTTGAACTTTCAAAGATGATGTGATTTGCATGTGAATCAGTTATTATTTCAAAACCACATTATCACAAAGGTACATTCACTATTTTTGACAAAATTTTAAATTTTCATGGGGTTGTAAATCTTATAATAACTAGATGAATAAGGAATGAATCCCAGTATAATGTGCATCATTATATTAAACACTATATGTAAGGCTAATGATTCTATTAACACTTATGAAGATCTATAGTATTTGAGCAGATAAATTTGATAATTTCCAAAACTCTTATATTTCAAAATTAAAGTGTGCGAATGCATTTAAATGAGAGCAAAAAGAGATTGATGCTGTTAAAACTAGGTGTTAATTTGCAATTATTTCGCATCACAAGAACTACCCAGTAAATTCGGCTATCTTTCTTTGCAATTATTCTCCATTATACCTATAATATAATGGTTAGGGTTTGAAGAAAAGTTACTAGAGAATTATTGACTTTTGAAATAATGCAGAATTTTACTTGAAGAAATCATTAATTTATGAGTTCCAAATTGCTAAGCATGACGAAGGATCATTAAATTTGCTACAATTAAATACATTTATTGCAGAATTAAGATTTTTGAAATTAAAAGTTTGAAATATTGCCTTTTTGAATAAAAATTTAAATTTTATTATATAATCATGATAATATCTTATAGAAATTAAAAGAAAATATTTTAAACCATTCAAATATTTTGAATGTCTTATCAATTTAAAATATTAAAAGATAGCTTGATTTTATCATCATTAGTTGTTATCAAAGTTTTCTTCTTTTGATGAACAACAGTAAATGATTTGTTAATAGCTTGTCTTCCTTTTTTGCACCAAAATCAAAATTCTCACCCGATCAGTAATCGAAAATTTTGTAGCATACGATTATTTTCCATTGAAAAATTATCACTAAAAAACTTTAAAAAATTAACTTTTATTCTTAATTTCATGTATGAAGGAGGTAGGAAATGACTTTAAGATTGACATCCTATTCATGGCTAAAGTTTTAGGAACTTTGAAGCCTAATTTGATATTGAAATTTTGGAAGATCAATGAATATGGGGATAAAAGTTGCATATCCTTGGACATTAAGAGGACATGTTATGAGAGTGGATAGCGTTCGACGATTCACTGAAAAAGTTACTCCTCGAAAAGACTATCTAAAGCCATCAAGTTTTTTGAATATTTTCTATCGTCTTTTTATTTTTAGTAAATTAGGATGCTCATTAAACAGTATGATTAAATATACAAAAATTTTTAATTTATTTTTCAAGGGAAAATAATCGTACGCTACAAAATTCTTTCGATTCATCATTCAATTGAGAATGATAATTTTGTAGCATATTTAGAAAAATGCTACAAAATTATTAAGTTATGATGATAATCTTGCACTCAATTTTGAAACTCTCTGATTTACAAATAAGCATTCCTTTGGAAAAGCAGTCCTATTATGATTCAAGATATTTTAAAGCCCCCATTTCATACAATGCGCGGATATATTCGAAATTGCAAGAACTCTCAAGAAAAATGCAGCAGCAAAGAAGATTCCATAGTTTCTAGCATCAAAAATTTACAACCTTAATACAACAGTTAAAGAGAAGCTCGAAAAGAAAATAATTAACCATAAAGCTGGAAACCATTCGATATATACTATTAGATCTAATAAAAAGTTAATTATAACATATTTTACATGCTATTTGTTGACTCTGTTCCATTATATTACCATATATATCTTTTTGAAATCTAAAATATTTTTACGATTTTAACCATGTGTTGTTGAAACCATATATCAATCTTAGCTAAAGTATAGTTTATGAGTTTGTCACCATCTAACGTATGAATTTTCAAAAATGTCAAATATGTTCATTTTTTCTGCATATTCAGCCATAATTTCACGTAGTTATACTATTCAACTATTATTTAATATTTTTATCGATTTAAATATATGATGAGATGCTTAGTTCTCCCGGAAATCGATTTTTAATTGCAATTTTAACTTTCCAAAAAAAATTCAAAAATAAAAATCCCTCTCAATTTTCTAAGTTTTATAACTCGCCAAATCTCTAGCCAAATTTTTTTGGCCCGTATAAATATTGTTAGGCACTATATAGGGATGCTATTTATCCTATTTTCATCCCATTTTACTGTTATCGCCTAGTGAATGTACCTTTATTATCACCCCTCAACAAATTTCAAATATCACTCTCAATTTTTAAGATTAAAATTTGAAATCTTTGTCAAAATGTTTTGCTTCTGTGTTACTGTACTCTCTTTAAATCATTCATCATCGAATAACAATTTATACATTTATGGACCAGAAACAATAGAGTCAAGAGACCTTTATTCAGTTGATTCAAATTTTCAAATTGTTCATTTTTGTTCAGGAGTTGTTACTATTTCAAGTAATGTCATACGAGGGTGGACATTATTACATACTGTAAATATATCAGAAACAGTTAAATACATAGATCCAACAGCATTTTTAGAGTGCATTTCTCTCTCAAGTTTCATTGTTCATGAAAATAATCAAATATATAAATCAAATAAGAACAACCTTGTCTCGCTTGATAATACAATATTGTTTCGCTTTCCTCCAAAATCGAGACAAATTTTTAATAAAGCTTATGCAATTGATGCAAATATTAAAAATATATCCGATTATGCATTCGAAAGCGCAGATTTTGGAAATGTTAATTTTGATGCTCAATCACAAATCGAAGTTATTGGATCATTTGCATTTTGGAAGAGTAATATTCAAGAAATATATCTTCCTTCTTCTATTTCCGTTATCAAACGATACGCATTTTCATCAACAAAATATTTAAAACAAATTACGTTTACTGATAGTCAAAAACATATTACAATTGAGGAATATGCATTTTCCGAGTCATCAATTCCGAATTTTATATTTCCATTTTATTGCCAAGTTTCTGAATCAGTTTTTTGTTTTTGTACAAGCCTATCAGAGGTAATGATACACTCACCCTACACAAGTATCGATTTAAATACATTTTCTGGCTGCTTGACAATTAATAAGTTTGATATTTCCTCTTCCTCACAAATTATAGATGTTAACGGGTTTATTATGAACAGTGAACGAACTCTTATATATTATATTACACCTTCTGCAACAACTTTAGATCAATACTCAGAAGATGCTTTATTTTGTGATACCGCTTTTCGAACGTGCAGTACGAATGTAAACCTATCATTAGCTTATAATAAATGGTATTCTATTTTAGAAGGAATAATTTATTTTAATAAAAGTGCTGTTTCAACTTTTAGTAATTTACCTGAAATCGAAATTGGAATTGTTGCCATTAGGAGGAGATGCTTTTATGGATTAAAGAATATAAAGAGTATTACGTTTCTTCGGTCATTGGACTTAATTGAAGCCGATGCATTTCGAGATTGTAGTTTCGATCAAAATACTCAAATACATTTTCCAGATTCATTAAGTACCATTCAAGTTATAGCTTTTATAATGCAAATTTCAGCACCTCGGGCGTTTTAATTATTAATTCTCAGAATTTGACAATAGGTGCTCATGCTTTTGATCATGCTGTTGCTAGAGATATTTATGTAAGCTCTTTATATGGTTTAGGTGAATATTCATTTTATCAATCTCAGATAACTTTATTCAATGTGAGTAATTGTCAATTAAATGAAATTAAAGAATACACATTTGCAAATTCATCCATAAGAGGTATCATATATACAGGAAATATCACAAAAATCGGTTTTTCTGCTTTTCAAAATTGTAATTATCTTGTATTAATAAGTGACCGCGAACATAATCCTCTAATAGTTGATTTAAGCAATGTTATATATGTCGGTGATTATTCTTTCCAAAATTGTAATAATATTAAAACAATTTTATTAGGAAATAAATATAAGACAGAATATATAGGATATAAAGCATTTAATGGAGCTATAGGCATATTTAATCTTAGTATTGGTAGAACAAATGAAATATTAACAAGAGATACGTTTTATGTTTATTTTTTGAAAGCTTTTAATTTATCAACAGAAAATGAATACTATTCTATGTTTTCTAGTTGTATTTATAACAAAAACTTTTCAATTTTACTGTGGTATTTTGGAAATGCAACAAATGTTGTTATAAAATCCACAGCAAGGATAATATTTGATAAAGCATTTTTTGCAGGATACCATTTAGAAACAGTCAGTTTTGATTCAACTGATAGTATGTTGGAAATCATTAGTAAAGGCGCATTTTATTTATCAGCTATAACAAGTTTTGAAGTTCCTTCAAGAGTTACTTTGATAGATAATAATGCGTTTAAGTATTGCGATCGTTTATCAAAACTTGTTTTAAACGAAAATCTGAAACAAATAGGAGATTTTTGTTTCAATTCTACCAATTTTTCAGAAATAAAAATACCAAAAAGTTGTATCCAAATAGGAAATAGTGCATTCAGTGGTCATACACAACTCGAAAAGGTTATATTTGATGACGAATCCACAATCACAGAAATTTCTGATTTCTGTTTTAGTTCATGCGAAAGCTTGAAAATCATCAAATTACCAAAAAATATTAAGAGATTCAGAAAGAATTCATTTGAAAATTGCTATAATCTTACTAATATTTCATTTCAAGATTTAGAAATAATAGATGATTACGCTTTCAGAAAATGCAAATTAAACGAAAATATAACAATTCCTTCAACATGTTTCAAACTAGGTCAATCTTGTCTCAGTTCAAGTTCTATTAAATACATTAATTTCGAACCAAATAATAAGTTGAAAGAATTTGAAGCGAGTTTGTTTGCAGATTGCACACAACTTCAAAAGATATTAATCCCTTCATGGATTGAAACAATTTCATCCAGTGTTTTTTCAAAATGTGATAACTTAAAAGAAGTATTGTTCGAGAGAAATTCAGCATTAAAACAGATGGATTCAGGTGCATTTACGGATTGCCCAAATATAGAAATATTGGAACTTCCAGATTCATTTCATAATTATAGTTCATTTTTTATTAATTTCACAAGATATGATTTAGTTTCGAACACAATTTCTATTAAAAAACTTGTTTTGTCACCAACATATTTTATCATGAATAATTACTATATTGAATTCACTTTTATTAAATTTAATATTTTATCAATTGAAGCTGGAGAAGAAACAGTAATTGAGTTTATTGAAAATGGTGCATTTTCTAATAAGCAGGAATTAACTCAAATAAATTTCAATTGCAAGATAAACAAAATAGCTGATAATGCATTCGCATATTGTAAAAATTTGGAAAATGTTTTCATTAAAGAACTACAATCAATAACTCCATACGCATTTGCTAGTTGTACCTCTCTTAAGGAAATAACAATACAAGAATTCGATGGAACAATCCCAAGTGGTTGTTTCTATTCTTGCCAAAATTTAGTTCATTTTAATTCCAATTGTTTGATTCAACGTGTTGGAATTGATGCATTTAACAGCTGTGAAAATCTTGACATAGACACCAAAGAAATTATATTTGTTGATGAATCTGCATTCTCTTCTTCAAGAATTTTATCCTTTCCCCCAAAAATTAAACATATAGGTGAAAATGCATTTTTTAAATGCGTTATTGAACAAAAGGACATTATTTTATCCAATGAACTTGAATATATAGGAAATGATTCATTCTATTCTTTGAAGAATAAAACCCATTCCGTATATTATTGTGGAGATAAAAATTTTTCTCAAAACTTCAATGTTTTTGGAGATTTTGTCATCAATATTTTTGTTCCATCAAACTACAATTATTCAACTTTTTGTAACAGGGATGTAATTAAAAGCGAATCATTAAAGTGCTTCATTCCTCCTATGACTGATTCAATTAGTTATTCACACTCAATTAAATTCATCTCTAAAAATCGATCTCTAAGAAGATATAGATAGACAAATACCATTCATTTTATGAGAAGTCTATTCATTAACATACATTATTGTAGTGGATAACTAATTTTCAGCAAAATTTTCTAGTTTTTGATAATTAAATTATCAAAGTTTTAATTTTCTCCACAGACTAATATCATTCAATGTTTTGCAACCAACATTTGATTAGTGCACATCAATAAGCTGTTTCATCCCTCCAATGACAGATTTTCTATGCTATTCTCATTATTTTAAATTTGACTCAAAAAATAGATCTCTAAGAAGATTAAGATAGTTTATTTATTATAATTTATGTATGTTTATTATACTAAATGTAAGTTTTATTGCGAAAATTATTTCCGAATTTTTTATGTCAGAGAATATTATTCAATATATAAGTGCGTTTTATGATGCGTGCCGTTTTTCAAAAATAAAAATAATGCCATATCGTTTTTGAAATTTTTTCTTATCTTTCGGATAGGAATTTTAATGCTTGTAGGATCCAGACATTGAATTAGAGCTTGTTTTATGCAAATACAAAGATAGATTTTTCTTAAAATAGCAAAGGAGAAAATTCATCTTCCGAATTGAACGTTATTTTTCATATTTTTAGAACTTTAACATGAAAATATTAATATATTCAGGATATTCTCAACATTTGCATTTTACTCGTTGAGAATTGAGTTAATTTTCTGCATGAGAAATTGAAAGTTATATCGCGATTATTAATAAACATATATAATATTAAATTGTTAATGTTCCTAAATTAATGAAAAAGATGGCCACATTTTACTTTTTAAATTTTCATAGAGGTTAACAAAGGTTTACAAAAAAATTAATACGAAAATTATGTATTATAACATAATTTGGGAATGTGAAAAACGAAAATAATCACTGCTTATAATTTTGAATACATTCAATATTTTTCAAAACAACCAGATTAATCAATCGGGAAAATATGCTCTAATGACTATATTTCATACGATAATTCAGAAATTGAAGAAGAGATGTAAAAATGGTTTTGATTCAATACCGAAAATTGAATGTTGAAAAATAATAATGCTCATCGTTGGTCACGTGATTTCACTTTCCGATTTGATAGCTTATTCAGAATTCAATTATATTTTTCAAATTTGACAAACAATTCAGAAATCGATTTACAAGTTTGAAAGTGTGGAAATGAAAAGTTGTATACACATAACAGAATATTATCAAACTACCGATGAAACTTATACTGATAATTTCAGAACTATTCTCAAATATTTGTTTATTAGAGAAAGTTATTGATTGTTATAAATCTATTAGATAAATGAGATTCCTTAGAAAAATTGAAAATGCAAAAACTATTGAAATTTCAAAATTCTTGTATTTTTATACTAGATAACTTGTCAACAATTCCATTTCGCTGATGATGATTATTTTTTGAATTCAAATTTTTCAATGGAATAATCAAACCCCCGAAGTAATAATAATAATTATTTTGTTCGAACTCATTCAGTTATAGTTCAGCATTGAGTTTTTAGTATTTAAGATTTTGGACCAAAGCGGTTATACTGAAAATCATTGAGATTCAATTATTATCACTTCATTTTTCATTAAATGGAAGAGATACAGTCTACTTCTACACAGAATTCAGACGATTTCTCAAGCTCCCTAAGCAGTAGGTTAAGTGGATTGGTTGATATTCCTTTATCAACAAGGATCAGAGAGAATGTATCTTCACTCTTTAACTTTTTAGACATATATGGTCCAAAAATCCCATTACTCCATACCATTGTATCGTTCATTAGATTCTTCCAATTAATTGGTGGAGCGTTCATGGCATCAAATAATGATATCTTTGATCAGAAGACACTAGCTTTTAGAGCTATCAACATTATTACAGTATTCTTCCATGTGATACCAGTTCAATACAGATTTGGCAATGAATATATCTTTTTATATATTATTAATGCTGTTTTAATTCTTTTCGGTATTTACCTTCTTGTCTGTGCATTCATATACAAGAAAACAAGTGCAATCTCAAGATTTTCAATAGTACTCTTAACATTGTTCATGTCCTTTGTACCTTGGCTTCTCATACTAATATCAGTTCAATACGCGGGACAAATTATTTCAGCTTATTTGGCAAAAGTTTACAAAATTGAAATGAAGTCACTTTTTGCAGTCATTTTAACCTGTGTTTGCTGCTTCACATACACATGGACACTTGTTAAATGCTACACAAGAACCTTAACTTTCAGAGCAATGTCATTCCAAACAGTAGAATCACGTCCACAATGCAGATTATTCACGACCACAAATCTTGTCACTTTTGTTTCATCTCTCACATCATATTTAACAAAATGGCCGTCTGTAGGTTGTATAGTTATCTCAGCATTTTGCTTTTTATATAATGCCAAAACAGTTTTCGGATGTGCCACATTTGTTAAGCCAGTTCATCAAACAATGGTCCTTTCCGGTTCAATTTTTGGAGCATTACTTTCTTTTGCTTCGATTGCACCAATAACTATAGGAAAGCCATGGCCAATCTTCTTCTACGCAATATTTGCTGGCCTATTTGTTATTGTATTTCTTATTTCGGATCTTTTCATTAAGAGAAGAATAAGAGTAGATTTGCTGACATTGGATGAATTCGAAGCTTCAGGTGATTTCGACGTTATTGGTTCAATGAAAAAGTTCAAGCAGTCTGTTGTTACTGGATTCAGTTATGGACACAAAGTATGCTTGAACTTCTCAGTTTTCAAAGCTGCTGCTCAGAAATGGCCAGATCAACTTATTGTTTGGTTGATTTACGCAAAGTTTGCTTCAATTTACCCTGAGTTGTCAAATACTTTAGAGTTTATTGGATCAAACTTAAAGGGCTTGGTAAAGAAGAACCAAGAAGCTGAATTCTACTTGGCTAATATTGGTCAGATTCTAAAAACCAGAGAGACAAAGTTTACTCCACAGCTCAAGTCAAAGATTTCAAAGATCCAGAAATATTTTGACAAATCTAAGAATAGACTGAGAAATATTTGGGATCTTGTCCTTCAAGGCAATGTTTCTGAGATGGATACAGCAATCAGATCAACTTACGAAAGTGTTGAAAAGTCAGAAGTTGAAATCAACCAGCTTTTGATGCTCTATCCAAACAATAGATTTGTTGCAAGACAATATGCAAGATTCCAACTCGAAATCAAGTCAGATGCTGTTACATATAAGAAGTGGAATGAAAACTTGAAATTGCTACAAAAAGGAATTCAAATTCATCCAGATACACTTCATGAATTAGGACAAATTGCATTTGAAGATATTCCAGAGCATTCTGATGAAACTGTTACAGCTGCCAAAGTTACAACAACAAAACAAGAATCATTTGGAATGGATGATGGTAACATTTATGATGAAGATTTAGATTTCCAGCAAGTCGAAAGTCTCAAAGATCTTATTGATAATCATAAGATTCCAGCCATTCGTTACATGTACTTATCTTCAGTATTTTCATTTGTTTTCCTGATCTTTGTTCCATTTTTAGCACTATTAGGATTCTTCTTTTATTTCACTAACTCCATCATTGAACCATTAGAATATATGTATGGAGTTTCCTATATGAGGAACCTAATAAACATGTTACCACCATTATTAACCAAATTCTTGATGCAAGAAATAGATGATCCTCTTATTCCAGGAACAAAGTGCATGACAAAGATTGAATTAAATGATAATTTCCCAATGACTGCCTTTGGTGGAAGCAAAAACACAAAAGGTATCTTAGCATACTTGATTACACAAGTTGATAGTGCAAACTCACTGATCACTCCATTAAGACACTTTGCAAATGGAAACAAACACATAGAACAAGTTAGAGATTTACTGTTTTCTGCTTCAATTACTTTGAGATTTTATCTGAATAAAACCGATGTTGAAGTAACAACATCTAATTTAGTACAGATTTCTTACATGGTAACAAATCATATATCAAAAGTAATTGGATTATCAAAATATGATAATAATGTTCCTAAAAGCTTAGACTCATTAACAGCTAAGAATAATAACATTGAAACAACAGAGCATTTAACACAAACTGTTGAATTGATCGTTCAATATATCAAAGATGTTGATAAAAGAAACGAAGACATAATGTTTTACCTCAGAATAGTTATAATCGTTGTCGCCTTGATTATTTACATTGTTATTTATAATATCCAAATCAGGAAATTAAGAAGCAACAAAATAGCTATCTATGACTTATTATCAAGCTTACCAAAGACAGTCATTTCCAATATTTCTTATTCATTTACAAAGTTACAAAGAGAAGCAACAGCAACAACACAATCATTAGGAAGCATTGCAGAAATTGAACACAACAGACAAGAAGAAAGTATCATCAAATTATTCTCTTCTATAAATGATGAACAATCAAAAGCTTCTGTTGAAATGTACAATTTCTTCAACTTTATGTTCATTATGGTTGCTCTAACTGCTGGATACTATTTAACAATTCAATCTTATCTCGATGCATCAACAGAAGTTGTCAATAACTGCTACCACATCAACTATTTGTACGGCAGCATTGCACATACATTTAAGATCATGTCAAACATCTTCGATTTAGTTTGGGAGCATTATGATGAATCGTTTAGCAATATTGTTGTTAATGAAACTGAATCATTAGAAGAAATCGGAACAAGTCTTCCAATTGTTGGAAAATACCTCCAGTTACTTAGATTAGGTGGTGAAGGAAGCAATGAATATCCATTTGAAGGAATGAAGGAAACAGTTGATAAAGCTTCTGTAATTATCGAATGTCCAAATCCTTTAGAACCACCAAAAATTATTCCTAAGAGTGCTCATTGTTTCTCAGCTCCAGAACAGTTTTACATGGCAAATATGCTGATGAGAAGATTCTATGGATTGATGACTGCAGAGAACCCAGTTTTTGTTCTTCCAAAAGGAGATGGCATCACATATACATGGCAAATTGGAGCTGTTGAATTATATGAAGCCTTCTTCTATAGAGCTGGTCAAATTCTTGTTCCAACAATTACATCAACAGTTAAAGCAGAATCCACTCCACTTATTGAATATTGTTTCATTTTCATGGTCATTGCAGCAATATTCACATTAAATATCATCAGATTAACAAGAAAGGAAGAAGTTCTTCTGAAGTTCACCATGAACTGCTTGCTGAAATGTCAAACATCAATATTAATGTCAAATTCAAGAATCATGGAAGTATTAAGTGGAAACTACGAAAACGCTGTTGATGAGCAAGTAGAAAGAACACAAAAGTTCCATAATGATGTTGTTAATAAAATTGATGACATCATCATTGTCTGCAGAGAAGAGAATAATACAGTAATTGGTGTCAACACAGCATTCGAAGAAATGTTTGGAATCAAACAAGAAGAAATACAAAATACAGATGTTAAGAAATTTTTCTTGGATGGAAAATTCACATCATCTGAGAAACTTGAAAAGGTTGTTTTATCAAAGGGTTCTGTCATTTATACAAAATCTAATGGAGAAAAGGTTTATTTAGACTTTTCTTCACAATCTGTTGCAGGAAGAAGAATCTACTCTGGAACAAATCAGACACAAATTGTTATGCATGAGAAATTGATCGAAGACGAAAAGAAGAAATCAGATGCAATGTTGGCAAGTATTTTGCCACCAATGTTAGTTGCTCGTGTTCAAGCAGGAGAAAAGAACATTTCTTTCGCAGTTCAATCAGTTACGGTTTTGTTCTTGGATGTTGTAGAATTCACACCATGGTGTGGTTCTCATGATGCTCAATATGTAATGAGGATGCTCAACATTATGTTCAAAGAATTTGATGCAATTACTAATGCACATCATACAATGACAAAGATCAAATGCATTGGTGATTGCTATATGGCAGCTGGAGGTATCTTTGATGAAATAAACCAACCAGCTGTACATGCAAAAGAAGTTGTTGACTTCGGTTGCAAAGTCATCAAGAAACTTGAAGAAATTGATGAAAGAGAAAACGAGAAACTCAGAATCAGGGTTGGTATTAACACCGGCGGTCCAATTGTTGCTGGCGTTATTGGAACAGAGAAACCAACTTTTGAAATCTTAGGTCCGGCTATTAACATTGCTCACGAAATGAAAAACAAAGGTGTTCCAATGAAAGTTCATATTTCACGCCCAGTCTATGAACTAATTTATGGACAAAACTTTGATATCAAAGAAAGAGGTGAAATTGATGTCAAAGGAGGCAAGATGTTTACTTATCTTGTTGAACCATAAGAAATTGATATGTTATTTTTATTTTTTGTTAGTAAATATTTTTGTTTGTTAATAAATCCCTTTTAGTTGCTAAAAATAAGCATTGGAACTGTGTTATCAATGCTGGTTCCATCAAATGACATTTCATTTCCTTTCTCTTAATTACGCCTTCATCAATATCAAATTATTCATGTTTATGATAAGGACTATTCGAAGCGAGTGTTAACATAAATCAACTACCATAAATTTCTGAACCCCAAATTATCGAAATTTGCAAATTCATTCATATAATCCTCATGATACTGCCTTGAAGGTAACGATAAGAATCTGAAATAGGAAATCAAAATTTATTAAAATTATTATTTTTTATATCAAAATTACAAATTAAATATTAAAGTAAGTTAAATAAATGTAATCAGTCGGCTTTATTATGTGGGCTAGGTGGGAAAAGACACTCCATCCAGTTCCAGAAAACACCATTATCGTAAATATTAATAACTGGATCGTAAACTTGTTGTTTCCTTCTTCTATCTTCATACTCGTACTTATCAAGTTCAATTTGTGTAACATTCTTTGAAATGTAATACATTTGCTGAATTGTAAAGAAAAGAAGCATCAAAAACACGAGAAACATTGCTAATCCTGTTCCTGATACCATTTTGTAGTGCATGATCATTGCTCTTACAATAATACTGAGATTTTCTGAAAATTTATCTGTAAGTTTTATGTATTTTATGCTAACAAGCTCGTTATAATGGTATTTAAGATATCTGAAATATGAATATGAATAAACTGCCGATGTAAATGTCGTTGAAATTAAAAATCCCAAAAAGAAACGTTGTGTTCTTTCGCCGATAGGTGCCATGACCCAAGGACAGTAATGATCGTATTTTCTGTGTGTTAGTTTATCATTTAAAATCCCAATTTTTCAAAAATAAAATTTCAAATAAAATTATTTTTGAAAAAAATGGGTAAATACATACGCAATACGTCTATTTGTATATCTATCAAACCTAGATCGTGGAACAACTGGTATTTTTAAAGTTGGACATTCGTGAGGTTTATATAAAACGTTATCATAAGGATAAAGCTCCAAATATCCGTCAACATTATCAGCAGTGATTACACCTGGATTTGCAAAGTGTAATATTAAAGCAAAGATCCATGGAATTGGTAAAACACCATAAATTATTTTGTAATGGAAGGATAATTGATCCTTATAGATATATTTTGCGTCATTTAAGCAGTAATTGTAATATGTTCCTGCAAAATAGCTGTATACCATGATGAAAAATAATAAAATTGAACTTCTAAAAGGTCCTTGAGTTCCAAGGCAATCTTCATATTCCATGTTTTTCATTCTTTTTGGAAGTAACGCTCTAACTAACTCTTGAATGAAGTTGGGAACTCTTATTGTTAAACATCTAAAGCATCCACCGATGCAGCCATTCCTATGTAAGTAGTTGTTACCAAATATCAGCACATAGATAACGAAAACGAATAAAAAGAAATATAATAAGAGAATAAAAACCAATGGATCCATTTTTGAAATAAAAAAAATTTTTTTTTCAAGGGAAAAAAAAGTGTGCTGTCACCATTTCTAGCCTGAGAAAAGGACTCATGTTTATGGTATAGATAGAATAGATCATAAGAAGCTTAACTTGAGACTTAGGAGAAAAACTGTCCAAATTTCAAAAATGAAAGAAGCAATGAAAATTGAATACTTTTTCACTAAATTTTTTTCAAAAGAGAAAATATTTATAAGAAGGTTGGCTTTGTTTCAATTAGATTTGATTTGAAATCAATGATTTCCAAGGTTTTTTATCATAGTGTGAAAGTATATTTTTTGAATGATGAAGAATGTTAATAAATTAAGCTGCCATTTCAGAGTATTGAAATAACATATGTCTCTTTAAACTTCCACTGCTTTTAGGTCTTATCTTTTCATTATTAATTTTTTAATGGAGCAATAACTTAATATTATTAGAAATTGTTATAGCTTCAGGGCATTTTGGAATCATATTGCATTCTTGCGTATTTGACCCACGCTAATATTCACCAAACTAATAACATTAAATGTTTTTCGTATGAATATTACAATCTTACTGAAGCTGATTTTTCATCCACAATACACTCATTGAATTTAATTGATAACGTAAGGTTTTAAAACTTAAGTATTTTCAAAATGCCATTGGACATCTGATTAATGAACATAATCAATTTGAGAAATGTTATAGCAATATAGATGCATTGAGTTTTCATATATCAAATAGCTATGCGATATGGTTATAATCTGTTATCGAAGTTTTTTGAAATGATTGAGAACTGTTATAGACCGAAAATAGATTTTTTCGGTTTTCTCTTCAAATAATTGAAAGAATGATACTATTATAGGTTTATTATATTATATAGCATATAATCATGCTATAGCCGAAAATTATAAGTTTTGAGAAGATTGAATATAACACAAATAAATTTGAATGTAAGTTAAATTGCTTGTTGTTTTTAATAGCTATTTAATGAGAAATCCAATATTGCAAAATTCAAATTGAATGATTGAAAGAACAGAAAAAGTCATTCTTTTCAATTTCGAATATGTTTCATTGTATTTATAATTATATGGCAAATAAGATATTTAAACTTGATTTTTGAAGGAAAATTCACAAAATTGAATAAATTCAAATAATTTTTATTCAAAAATAAACTAGTTATTTGAGTTTAATACTAATTATCTATTCAAACTACAAAGTTTGTAATTTAAAATATTTTGTGAGATCAGATTGAATTAATTCAAGGTTCTTTTCAATTAATATTAATGACCATATTACGCATTTTCGAACATTCTAAACCAAATATATAAAAATGGGAGACGAATGTTAAATTTGCTAGACATGGGGGAGTTGTCTGCAAAGTTTGAGCTCTTATCTCTAACAAAAAATTAATTTTTAAAAAAATGACCGAATACGTTTCACAGCGAGAAAAAAATAAAAGGCAAGATAGAATTTTCTAGACATAAAGAAGTTGTTTACCGAGTTTTAGCTCTTATCTCTAACAAAAAATTAATTTTTAAAAAAATGACCGAATACGTTTCACAGCGAGAAAAAAATAAAACTGTACACTGATTTTCATTTTCATTTCCAGTCATTTTACTTATTATTTTTTCTTTTTTTCATTTTAATTATAAATTATTTCATAATACGTTTATTTACCTTACCATTTTCTTTATTCTTTTGAATTCCATACTAGACACTTATAGAATATTTTGATTGTTAACGTACTTCATTAGAATGAATCCTTACAAAGGGTATGTCGATCGAATTTACCTAATTGGTATTTCCAATCGGATTGAAGAAGGTAAAATGACATGGGAAGAAGCTTGCACCCATGTTCCCATCGCCCCAACCCTTCAATCAAATGATTTCAAATATTTAGATGTTTCAAAATCTTTTTTACAAAATCAATTTAGCTTACAGAATATCCCATTGCCTAAAGGCAAGAAAGGTCATAGGGTCAATCCCTACGACCAAATCAAAGCTCTTGCTGTGATACATGACCACTGGGCCTTTCCCTGTGGTCAAACAAAACAATGGAAACGTTTGAAATTACAACAAATTGATGTATCTTATAGAGAAGTATGCAGATACTTCAAAGAAAATCATTTCACCAAGACGCGATTAGAGCATGCCGGGCCAGAAACAGCAGTAAGATATTGGGCGCTTTCACCCAATCTTATCTGGCACGCAGATGTTCATTATTTTAGGGGTGTTCGTGGCCAGTATATTTATGGCATAATCGACGATTTTAGCCGCAAAGTCCTAGCGTGTATACAAATACCAGATATGCTGGCAGCGACGACAGCGAACGTTGCGGCTTCCGCCTTCATTGAATTTGGCGCCCCTTATTGTTTCTGGACCGACAACGGTTCAGAAAATAGGGGCGCCTTTCAAGATCTACTTGATCTTTGGGGCGTCCAATGGCGGCATACAGACTCTCATTCTCCCTACCAAAATGGGAAGATTGAGAGATTCCGGCCGACATTGGAGCGCTGCCAAAGCATTCAGGCTATTCCTGCCTTTATTTGGGAGTACAATAATAACACACCGCATGAAGATCTCCCAATTAATCCATTAACTGGAACAAATTACACGCCAAATCAAATGTATCAGCTGAAACCGAAATACACAAATGCAGATACAGAAAGGTTGTGGCAAATATGGGATACAGATACAGGCATGACCGCTGTTGACACATTCACAGCGTAATAATAAACATAATTTTTTAATTTCATTTTTAACAAGTTTTTTTAAATGTATGTAATGAATAATTCATTAGAATATGATAATGCACATTGTAACAGAATAGAACAATCACCAAATTTTTTTTGAAATTAAAAAATAAAAGTAAAAAGTATAAAGTAATCTAACCAAAAAAGATATTTAAAAGAATTTTGGAAAAAACAGAATAAGGATAATGATATTATTTTAGATACACAATCGATGTACTGAAGAATAATCCGGTAAAATGATGATATAAAATTAGATTATTTTACAAGTAGCTAAAAGAATAAAACTATAATATAAAATAAATGAAGTTTAATGAAACAATAAAGGTTAAATAAATAATAAAGATTTTTATTTTATATCAGTATTGAGAAGAAGTAACAGCTGACACTTGGTAGACAACTTCTTTATGTCTAGAAAATTCTATCTTGCCTTTTATTTTTTTCTCGCTGCGAAACGTATTCGGTCATTTTTTTAAAAATTAATTTTTTGTTAGAGATAAGAGCTAAAACTCGGTAAACAACTTCTTTATGTCTAGAAAATTCTATCTTGCCTTTTATTTTTTTCTCGCTGCGAAACGTATTCGGTCATTTTTTTAAAAATTAATTTTTTGTTAGAGATAAGAGCTAAAACTCGGTAAACAACTTCTTTATGTCTAGAAAATTCTATCTTGCCTTTTATTTTTTTCTCGCTGCGAAACGTATTCGGTCATTTTTTTAAAAATTAATTTTTTGTTAGAGATAAGAGCTAAAACTCGGTAAACAACTTCTTTATGTCTAGAAAATTCTATCTTGCCTTTTATTTTTTTCTCGCTGTGAAACGTATTCGGTCATTTTTTTAAAAATTAATTTTTTGTTAGAGATAAGAGCTCAAACTTTGCAGACAACTCCCCCATGTCTAGCAAATTTAACATTCGTCTCCCATTTTTATATATTTGGTTTAGAATGTTCGAAAATGCGTAATATGGTCATTAATATTAATTGAAAAGAACCTTGAATTAATTCAATCTGATCTCACAAAATATTTTAAATTACAAACTTTGTAGTTTGAATAGATAATTAGTATTAAACTCAAATAACTAGTTTATTTTTGAATAAAAATTATTTGAATTTATTCAATTTTGTGAATTTTCCTTCAAAAATCAAGTTTAAATATCTTATTTGCCATATAATTATAAATACAATGAAACATATTCGAAATTGAAAAGAATGACTTTTTCTGTTCTTTCAATCATTCAATTTGAATTTTGCAATATTGGATTTCTCATTAAATAGCTATTAAAAACAACAAGCAATTTAACTTACATTCAAATTTATTTGTGTTATATTCAATCTTCTCAAAACTTATAATTTTCGGCTATAGCATGATTATATGCTATATAATATAATAAACCTATAATAGTATCATTCTTTCAATTATTTGAAGAGAAAACCGAAAAAATCTATTTTCGGTCTATAACAGAAATGATTGAGAACATGTTAATTAGAAGTAAATATAATATTAGTGTAAACAAAAAATAATTCGTACAATAAATCGTAAATGCAAGAATAATTTCTCAAATAATTTACGATTTTATGCTTTCGTAAGGAACATTTATACAAACGTGTGGTCTAAGGGAAATTTAGAATTACGAAGATCAATAGAAGAACTGTTATCAAATGATTGAAAGGTATTCAATCTGTAACGTTTAGAAGAATTTAAAAAATTAAATAAAAAACTAGATAAAGAACGGCCAAATAGTTAATTGATAAATAATTATAGATTGTGTTAAACGTGCAAACATTCAAATAAGGACTCATGATCGATCTCGAACAATTTTATCGAAATAGATATATATGCTAATAATAAGCAACTTATTACTTAACAAAATAAATTTTGCGGTTTGATGAAAACGAAAAAGATAGTATGATCATAAAAGCTATTTATTTAATTAGATTATTCAAAACAACATCATAGTTCACTTTCAATTTGTGAATTTTTTGTTAATCTTTTAAAAGTTAACAAAAATTGTAGTCATCTACAGTAAATATATATATACAGATATAATCTTCTCTTTTTTGTTTTGTTCGAATTTTTTGTTAACAGTGTTTATTGTTAAAAGTTGATCAATATACTAACTTGAATATTTTAACTCAGCTATACCATCAACGATGAGTATTCAATTAATAAAATGTTTGAATATCCACACAAAATGAATGACCAAGTTTAAATATTCTTGCAATACTAAATGATATCTTTACAAGTTTACTTTTGATGTAATTTATAAGTCTCATCACACTTTTTAATGCTCGATTTTTAAAAACTGTTTAAAAATGGAGCTTATATTGAAATAGTCTGTGGTAATTTTTAGTCTCTAAACTCATTTTTTATTAAAAAAAATTATTTAGAAAAAATGAGTTTAGCCAATAGTGTCCACTCTCATAAATATATCACATGCGATTGCGAAAGCATATGCCTACGTGTCCACAAGAAGCATGACTGCAAGTGTCATCGTAATTCCTATGATCGCGTTTCCAAATGCTTTGATTTGAATGAACAACACTATTATATTCGACCACAAGGCATTGAAATTAGTTCCCCAAGTCAAGTTGGCGTTCTTTCCAACATAGACTCTTGCTATGACCTCGTTTGCCGAAATTGTAATTGTGCCTTCAGAGTTATCACTTCCAGAAAATATGCTCAATTACAGATAATCCAAATAGGAGAGCAGAATCGACAGAATTATATTCATTCATCTTGTACTTTAAAAAATACATTCCCATTCCAGCTCAGACCATTTATTAAGATCAATAATTTATCACAGTCTTTACCATTATTTGAAATTAATGATAGTAGCTGTGAAGAAGAGCACACAGAGCCTTCATTTTTAGATGATATTGTCGAAGAAATTCAGCCACTACTGCCAATAGTTGGAGATATTCCTAGTGGTTTCTTAGTTCTTTGATATTGTTTTATTACTCATTTATTGATATTTGTTTAATTTTACGATTCGAATTCCTTAAAAGTTGCGATTGTTTTGTTTAATTAGCTTTGTTATTTCCTATATACAATCCCAAATAAGATATTCTAAAATGCCGAACATTTCTATTTTTTTTTCCTTTTTCTTTCAACAAATTTCCCACCTTCTCAATTTATAAATTATTGAATTTCAAAACCTTGCGCAATCGGAATTTTATTCTAGAATTACACTACGAATGCGTTTATCATCAATTTTATTTATCTCAAGAAAATTTATATTGCTGACAGCACTATTTTATTGCATAATTCCAATTATGTTATCCATTGTGATGGATTTATGCGGACAGTTACTATAATTTAAAAGATTTTCGAAATTTTTTGTTCTCACGTACCAAAAAATTAAAGTTATTTCGGTTATTATCTACCAGGTTATCAAGAATTGATTATTTCATGCAATATAATCAAAAATAAAATACTCATCTGATTTCCATTGGAGAATATACTATTCTAGATAGATTTTCTTTTCTATATAAGTCCTGAATTATCTATTAATATCTTTTCAGCTTTTTATGAATTTTCAACTGAATCTTAAAGTTAGCATAGATTTGATCGATAAAAAAGGTGAAACATTGAAACTGAAAATATTTTTGAATATCAAAGTTAAATTATATTCGCATTTGCATATGATTTATCATTCAGATCATAGCTTGATCTTTAATTTTGTATGAACAGATTCATATTGGATATATACATTTCAACAAGAAGCATAGAATATTCAATATTTGTATAAAATACCGCAGGCGATTTAATTTACCTATATGTTGAATGATTACCATAGAATAAATTGCATACAATCATATTTGGATTAATGTTAATATAATATGCTTAATGATTCGTTTTATATTGTAGATATCTCATCAAATCAGAAAAGTCGGTTCAAATTGTATTAATATTTGTCCATTTTATGTTAAACCTATACAACTTTTTATAAATATTTATATGGGATAAATGTGTTTGCAAAAATGAGTTTTCAATGACCAAATTATTGTATTTTCAGAAAACAATCACAAAAAGTTAATACTTATGCTTGAGAAATCCATTAATTGGACTAATTATTTATATATGTCAAGAAAAACCATACATATACTTGATTCACGCACAATTTTTATTTGGGAGATAGGTTAAAAATGGCTATTTATTTGACCTCTATTAGTTTCTTGGTTTGCTGGTCATATATAATACATTTTTAAGTATAGATAAATCAATAATTAAATTCAAAAAAATATGCTTTTAACATAGTTATAAATATAACACTAATAAATAGTAATTAATTATAAGATTGAATACCTTTGAAATTTTAAGGGGTGCATTGAAATTAAATCAGAGGGATTTTATATAATACTTATTATACTTAATATTTACATTAATATTTATACGAAAGGAATTTGACTGTACACTTGGGAAAACGTGCTCGATTACTCTCAAAAAATAAAGAGGTTTTCTTTGTTTATTCTTAGTATTTGTTTGATGTACATATAATTCGATTTAAGTTGTAAAGTTAGATGTAAAATGATTCTTTAGAAACTTTTTGTAAGAGTTCAACGTATTCAGAAAAATTGAGAACTATGCATGCTCAGACTATTTAATTTGAATCAAGTTGTCATTATGCAAGATTTCCAACTTCCTAACTGCGCCAGCAAATATAAGTTTATTAAGCCTATTGGACATGGCGCTTTTGCAGTTGTTGCCTTAGCGCAAGACACAAAGACAGGAAACTTTGTTGCCATCAAACTTTTCAACCGCAAAAAGGTTATGGAACAAGATATGATGCAATATCTAGAGTCTGAAATTAGAATAATTTCTAGAATCCATCATCCAGCATTCCCTGAGATTTATGAAATTCTCTATGAACCGGAATGGATCATGGTTGTTATGGAGTATTTGTGCAATGGAAATGTTATTGAATTAATCCAAGAAAACGTTTTCTTTACATACGATGAAAAAATCGCAATTGTAAAGAGAATTGCTGAAGGTCTTGAATATCTTCATAAGAGAGGCATTGCACATAGAGATATTAAGTCAGAGAATATCGTATTCGATGGCAACTTTAATCCAAAGATCATTGACTTTGGCTTATGCAAGGAGAATCCAAATAATCTTGAAACATACTGCGGAACAATGAACTACATGGCTCCAGAGGTTATCAAGACCTGCAACTATAATGGAAAGAAGGCTGATATCTGGTCTTTCGCCATCACAGCTCATGTTATCATGACATCCCAAATGCCAATTAACTACATGAGTGAGGCCAAGTTTGTTCATGATGTTAAAAAAGGAAAAATGACCTTAAAGAACTATTGCATCGGAGAAATGCGTACTTTAATTGATGACTGCTTAATGCAAGATCCAGCTAAGAGACCATCCGCTTTCCAAGTTGTTTTGAAGTTATCCCAGATGTTAAATATCAACAAGGAAGATGCTATAGCTAGTGAAAAAGTTGTTTTACCAAAACTTTTGTCTGAAAAAAAGTTTATCGCCAGATGCAAGACAAAGAAGTTTGGTGCAATGCTTAACAAGAACTTCAATATCCCACATGTTATGAAACTCACTCCAAATGTTAACTTTAGAAGAGTCTCTTCTTTTTGAAAAAGAAGCAGACATCATGTTAATTGTTTGTTTAATATTTAAACTTTATCATGTATTTTGCTAATAATCCTTATTTTTATTTATCAAATGCAACACAGAAGACTTCAAAGTTTCATTATTTTTCAAATATTGTTGCTCAATAAATATGCTGATAATATTGTACATTCTCTTGATTACAACAAAATGACTTCTCTTCATTATGTTTCAAATATTGAGTACAAAGAAAAACCGCTTTATACTTTTGATTTAAGAGAACTTTCAATATCTCAAAAATCCGAAGAAAATAAATGCAAAGAAATGGCAGCTCTTCTTCTTTAGCATGGTGCAGATATTAATGCAAAAGATAAAGATGGACTAACGCCTCATCATTAAGCATCAAGGGGCAATTACGAAACAGCGAAATTTCTTATTTCACATGGTGCTGTTATCAATTCAAAAGATGAAAATAAATTAACACCTCTTCATTATTCAGTAACAAATAACAAATTAATAGCAGAGCTTCTTATTTGACATAATGCAGATATTAAAGCCAGAGATAAAAATGGGTTAACACCTCTTCATTGCTATTCTTTGCATTAAATAAAAAACTTCACATGGTGCAGATATTAATGCAAAGAACAAAACGGAACAAACACCTCTTCAAGATGCAATGACATTAAACAATAAAGAAATAACAGAGCTTCTTATTTCATATGGCGCAAATATTGATTCAAGTTAGTATGGTTAACTTGGGTACGGCGGCACTGCGTTCCACCTTACCCAATACTTGTGAATTTGACACTTTACAAAGCCGCCAACCACTTCACTAACGAACTCACTAATGTAAAAAATAAACGTTCTCACTATCGTTCTCACTAACGACTTCACTAATGTTCTCATAAATTTTCCTCAATATCTTCATCATCAGTGTTAACCCTATTGTAGTCATACTTGAAGCCATAAACTTTCTCTAACTTCTTAACGTACAATTTACATAACTTACCTTCGTCATCGTATGGTTTAATGATATAACTATTTCTATCTTTATAAACAGTCAATGAAAAGTCAACTGGTCTCGGATGTATTTGAAAGAACATGTTATGCTCAGGAAGGAAGAATAAATGTTTAAATGTATGTTTGTTATATGTTTTGATTTGTATGAGTTGCTTTTGTTCTGTCATTACATCCAAATAAAATAAAAAATAAAATAAAAAGTAAACTTAAAAATAAATGATATCACCACCCTCACACGTATGAAAACATAGCACAAAAATAAATTTAGGTGAAGTGGTGAGATCTAACCCGATTTCTAACCTGTTGAATTCATTGCTTTATAACTCACTGTCGTCTGCTTTCTCCAACTCTTCTAACTTCTTCTTAAGTTCAGCAATGTTGTCCTCATGAAGTTTAATCTTTCTCAAAATTCCTTCTTTATCTAATGGTTGCTTTATCTTTCTAAACTGAACTCTACCATCCTTCATAGTATGAATGTAAAAACCTTCTGGAATAGTTCCTGATTTAATGTATTCTACCAAGAACTTTTGTTTCATTGCTTCAGTGACTTTAGTCGTCATTTCAATCAAATAAAAATTTTAATATTAAATAAAAATAACGTTATTTTTTTCAGTAAGGAAACGCAGGAGTTTTACGATTTATTTGTGGTGTAGGTTCTGGTTTAAATGTTGGAGTCGGTTTTGGAGTTGACTTTTGAACAGGAGTTTGTACTTCCATAGGTTCAGGAGTCATTGAAGGTTTTGCTTGTGAAGGTGTTGGAGTTTGTTTAACTTCAGCTACTTCAGTATTATTTACAACATTTGCTTTATTTCTTTTCAACATCATTATGCTCCTGCTGTAGCTAGCAAACCTAGTGGGAGACCATATTTTATATAAGGACTTGACCAAATGCTATTTTTGACAGGAGCTGGTGGAACACCTAACCTTGGTGAAACTGCTCTTTGCCATTGTGCAGCTCGTAAGAAATATTCAATAGGTGCTCCATAATCGTTTGGTAAAGTTTGTTTCATAGATGGTGAAGGTTCACGAGAGCTTGATGAAGAACTCATTTATAAGCTTTAAAAATAAACGTTCATCCTTTATTCCTCACTGTCGTCCGTAGCTAAGTTATAGTCATCTAATCTTATTATGGGGATGCCATTAGCACGCACCTGAATGGCAAAGCAACAATCCCTCATAAATCCAATAAGTGGCTTTGGTACATTTTCAGTTGCTAGTTCAATAGGTCCTTTAACAGACAATTTGTATGTTATTGGAGCAGTAGATGTTTGACCTTGCTGGAAGCAAAAGTCCACTTCAGTTGGAAAACCACATAAGAAATGTGTGTTGTCATAGCTATCCCATTTATGTTCCACACTACCATCATCCACCAATGACCTCATAACATCTTCATTAAATCCAATCATATCATTGTTTGTATTGCAAGCGTTCGCAACCATTTCATAAAATACAGGTCCATATGATTTTTCAGGTTCTGCAGGCATATTTCCATAAGCTCCATGGAAAGCTGAAGATATTTAAACTTAGGGTTCTCAAAATTAACATAATAGTTGTCTTTCTTTCTAAATAGTGCCCAAATACTTTTAACATTAATAGGCGTATAAGCTGCTGTAAATGTTGCACTTGAACTATCTGTATTCTTTGAGAATGAACCGTCCATAGGAATCCAATCCATAACTTTAACAGGAAAACATAAAGCCTCGTTTGTATAATGTTCTACAAGTTCTGTATAAATGTTAGGGTCTAAAGAGAATGACTTTGGATGAATGAAACATTCATTAAAATCCATCTTTGTTCGAAATAGTTGCTGGGTTACAGTTGTAATAGTAACTGTTCCACTAGCTTCTACTGCCTTCGTTATCATAGTGAATGGTTCATTCCATGGAACAAATTTATTTGTCGGTGGATTTGAATCTGAAGCAAATGCAACTTTAAGAGTTGGATTGAAAGCAATGATATCATTTACAGATATAGATGTGCATTGTAAGGCGTCGCTACTGAACTTTACTTTAAGCTGAATGTTACCAGCAAATGCAGGAATAAATCTTATAGCTTCTAATGGTAAAAACTTTCTAACAGGAATTCTTAAACGAAGCTTAAAATCAAATGATTTTCCTGCTGTAATTGGACCACTAACAATTTGTCCTGTTCTGCATGTTCCCGAATGACTCCATACATCTTCATGTCGAGTCTTTGAGAAAACATCTACTTTCTTTATTTGTTCGGTAGTTTGTGAGTTTGAAGTTATATATGCTTCTTCTCTTGCGTTGTCTTGAGAATATACGATACGACCATTTGCAAGGATTTGATATCCAGCAACTGCATAGAAAGCGTCATCGAAACCAATCCAAAATCCTGGTGGGTTTGTTTTATTGGAACCTGAACCAATTTCTTTATCTACAATAAATTGACCTTCCATTTTATACGTAATGAATGTATTGTAAAGGTCCAACATATTTTCACCAGGAGGTGAGAGATTGAATGTTACCCATGTGTTATCTTTAGCAGTTCCAGGTTGTGATGGAATCTTTGCGTCAGAATATTTTCTATTAGTGTCACCAATTTGAACTGCATTGTCTATGATATCGAAATATGAACGAATCTGATGAATATGCTCTGCTGGAGTAAATTCGTTTAACTGTTCGTTCTGCATGTATTTACTTCGGATAAAAATATCTATTTACTTCATTATTCTCACTTTCTTCTTGGCATTCGTGTGGAAGTTGTTTCTTGACATTTTCAATGAACTGTACATTCTCTTTTGTCTCAACTTCTTTCACTGGTGGGTCAGGGTTCTTTGACTCGGTTTGCTTTTCAATGAAATTCACGAACTTTGCAATAAGCTCTTGGTTCGTTATTGAAAGAACATCTGGCTTCTTTTCTTCTGGTTCTTTTGGTGGCTCAGTTTGAACAGAAGGTTTTATATGGGCTTCGTGGACTTCACCCTTGCCATACACCTTAATGTTGTCGCTCTCTGCATTCGCTAATGGAACCTTTCTTTTTCTTACGTATATTTTACCATCTTTACTCTGACTTACGTAATAGAAAGGATGTTGTATTCCTCTTGCGTCATTTAATATAATAGACTCTCGCTCTGATTTTGACAAGCTCATTTTACATCGGTTAAAGTTTTAATTTTGTTTTTTATCTGTAGTCAAATGACTCAGACAAGTCCTACGGACAAGACCCAGGGGGTCATAGATGTTGAAGCATTGAAGAAAGAAATTCGTGAGCAAATTTTATCCGAACTGAAGGAACAAAAACAAGAACAAAAGCCAGAGAGACCAAAGAGAAAACTTAGTGAAAAACAACTTGCTGCATTAGCTGCTGGAAGACAAAAGAACCCACGTTTGCTGGCGAAGAAAGCTAGAGAAGAAGCTGAAGCAAAAGCTAAAGAAGCTGAAGCAAAGAAAGAGTAAATGGTTTATTTTTATTGGAACTAAATGTATAGACAAATACCTTTATCTGTTGCGTTCAGTAGTGAAAACCCTGACGTCAAAATAAAGGGGAACAGAGTAACGTTTAAGTTTCCAACAGACTGGATTGTGAACATAAATGAAGAGAAGTACATTGGCATAACATCTATGTATATAACACATGCTTTCAGAAAGGTTGACTTTATACTTCAAGTCGAGATAGAAAATGACGAACAGTCTTTAAGCGCCAAAACATTCACATATACAAATACTTTAAAGACGATACAATTTACAAGAATGTATGATTTCCTTCAATGAAATGTTCGAGAAAAAGTTCAACATTGAAGTACAAACTTTACAGCCTTTACGTGAGTTTTTTGCACAACTGAAAGAAGAAGGTAGTCAGCCACAACTTATAGACTTTCATTATGAATTTAATGAAAATGAAGATGGAACACATGACTGTCAGTTTGTTATATATTCACCATTCAATGAAGTAGCTAAAAAGAAAGAAAATCCATTACGTATAAGATTTCAAATCTCTGAACCAAGTGATGATTTCAAGAATGTTTTCAATTTGATGCAATGCTTCCGAGGAAAAATGAATTTTCAAAGATTGTAACACCTGGCATTTGGGATAGAAAGCAAGCTATATTATATTCAAACTTAAGTAAGGGAGTTGAAAATGAGTTCATTGGTCATACAAGAACTTCACCATTACCAAATCCTAAATACTATAAATTAACTGGCTTCAATCGTGAGTTTTGGATAGACATGTTCTCCACTCATGACCATAATGCCCAGTGTTTTACCTCCAGACCATAAGGACTGTCTCTACATTGAAGCAACTCTTAAACTCTACCATCGCAGTATTGTAAAATCTACGCTAGCTTTATTTTTATCACGAAT